CCTGAGTCCTAGGGTTACCACACGGACTTAGCTGCCCTCACTGGTGGGACAATTTCACTATAAAGAATTTTATTCCAAGTGGAATTTTAAAATCAAGTATCACTATACCACAGCAATTAGACCTTGAATCTTCTTTGGCCCCATTCGAATGGAAATCGATCCTTGTATTATTCCTTCCCCAGCACCCCAGTTACCAGGCCAGACCTTCCAAACTCCCAAACATAATCTACTGTGGACCAAGGATGTCAGCAAAGTTAACAACTGAGGCACTACCAATTGTGCTCAGATCAGGGAAGCTCCTATCCCACCCAGCCCTGTACGCCTGGCATTGGTTTTTAAAAGACTTTAGCACTGTCTTGACTATGACATTCAGTCTGGATTAAGAGTAACCCTGAAATGCTTGCTGAACCCAGGTTAAGCTCATCTTTTTTTGAGTTTAAATAACTATGCAGCTTTGTGCATTACAACAACCAAGCTTGGAACTGGTGGTCCAGTGGTTAAGGACTTGCTGCTCTCTCTGCTAGAGCCCTGATTTCAGTTCCTGGTTGAGGAAGCAAAGTTCCACAAGCTGAATGGCACGGCCAAAAAAAAGAACAACCAGACTTTAGTCTGGTGCCTGTTCTGATCAAAAGGGATCTCTGAGATCTTAAACTCTCAGTCTTGGTTTCTCCACTCTAAATGATGTCCAAGGTCCCTTCCAGTACTACTATGGCATGATACTGTCAGTTTTAATGAAATTTTATATCTGAATTCAGAACATGGTCTCCACTGTCTCTAAGATCTAAACCACAGCCAAGACACCAAGGCTAAAAATAAACAGCTGGAGGCACCAAGGAAGATCTCAAAACAAAGCATCTCATCCATCAGACTTCCGTATCTATCAGCATTCCTGAATCCAAGCTACCATGGAAAAGCTTTAAGAATATTCTGGTCACCACACAATTTGCAGACTCATTAAACACTATGTACAAGGTACTATGAAAGAGAGCGGCAAAGACCTTTCCCTCTTGGGGGAAGAAATATTTGGGGGCTTGCATATTTACTTTACTTGAATAAAGGTCTAATTACATCCTTCATTTTTCCACTGCCTAAAAGATCTGTTGCTGTAAATCAAGTCACATAAATTCCTACAGCTTGGTCTTAGAGGAAATGAGAGACATAAAGGAAAATTTCAAAATGATCTTCCCTTCACATCAACTAATTCCAGTGACTTCTATTTACACCTCCTTTCTTCCTTATGCAATAGTCAGTCTGAAACATCTTATCTTTAACATTAAAGGAAATTTAAATATTTCTGCTTTAACATTTAAGGGACATTTTTGTTTATGGATCAAATACATCTTGAAAATACACAGTGAGTAGAAACACAACAGCTAAGACATGGCAGAGAAGAACAACAGGCAATACTGCTGTGCGTGATTGCATGCTAAATCACTTAGTTGTGTCCGACTTTTTACCACCCTATGGACTGTAGCCCGTCAGGCGCCTCTGTCCATGGGATTCTCCAGGCAAGTATACTAGAGTGGGTTGCCATGCTCTCCTCCAGAGGGTCTTCCTGACCCAGGGATCGAACCCATATCTCTTATGTCTCCTGCATTGGCATGTGGGTTCTTCGCCACTAGCACCACCTGGGAAGCTCAATACTGCTATATCAGTATACATATAGAGAGAGACATCTCCATAAAATCTCTAGGACTTCCATATTTTAAATTTATATATATTTAAATTAATTTCAGTTGTTAAAAGTCCTATATGCGATGAAAGAAGTCTTTTCCAATGTTGGTAAAGCAAAGCTTTACTGGAGGAGTGTCTAAAAAGCAAGCTAGAGCCCAGATCACTGAATTACAAGATCTCATTTCTCATAAGATCTCAGTCTATCTAACTGTTACTTCATGATATGGTTCATGTCCTTCATTTGATAACAATGACCCACCACCTGCAAAGTGTAAAGTCTAGGAATATGTATATGTTAAGAAAAAGTCTACAAAGCAACTGGTTTATGTTTAACAGAAGTCAATTAAAATCTTCTAAAGGCAGGGTGACAACTTGCTAAGAAACAGTACGATAAAAATAGATTAGTTCCAGAAAAGTAAAATAGAAACCTAACTATCATTAACTTTGAAATTGATGCAGCAAAACAGAAACAACCTTGTGACTAATTTGCTTAATTCACCAGCCTTGTTTCCTGATCCCTAAATGTAGCTCTGTGGAAAAAGTTAAGAACTTGGTAGTTGGGTTCATGATACTGCCTTCTCTTGTTTTCCTCGTGTCACACTAGCTGCATTTCTTAAACTCCTCCGTTGTTTCCACCTCATCCTTCTCACCTCAGAATGTTGCAATATCCCCAGGACTCAATCCTGAAGCCTCTTCTCTTTTCTATCTACATCCACTCCCTGGGTGACAACACCCAACTTCAAGGTTTTCAACTTACACCTAAAAATAAAATTAGGGGCCCTGACAGATGTCTTGCCTACTTGGTATTTCTATCTGAATGTCTAATGGGCACCTCAAACTTAATACGTCCAAAGCTAAACTAATCTCCAGCCAGCTTCTCCATCAGTCTTCCAATTTCCATAAACAGGTGCGTATAATTGTTTAGGGAGAAAATCTTAAGAGTCATTTTTTAAAAATCATTTTCTTTTATTATGAATACCATACTCAATTCATCACTAAGTCCTGCTGGCTCTACCTTCAAAATATACTCAGCTTCTAACCACATAACTTGGTTTAACTCCCAACAACTTTCGCCTCAAAGAGTGAAAAAGAGCCTCCTAACTGGTGTGCCTCCATCTTGCCCTTGATATAGTCCAGTCACCATGGCAGCCACAGCCATCTTTTTAGAAGGCAGATCAGATATCACTACACTGCTCAAAGCCTAGTGATATGGTTTCCCATCTGGAAGTCTAACAGTCTATGAAGCCTTACTTCTTCTCAATGACAACAGCTACTACTCTCCTTACTCGGTATCAGTATGGCCTCCTTGCTGTTACCACAAAACGAGGAACTCTTCCACCTCAGCTCTTTGCACATGCTGATTCCTCTGCCTACAATGCTGTTCCCTGAGACAATCCACATGGCCAGCTTCCTCAGCTCCTTTAGGGTTCTTTTCAAACATCACCATATCAGTGAGGCCTTCCCTAACCATCTTATTTAAAATCATTACAACCCTACAAATTCCATCATTCTGTTGGCACTGCCCTACTCTCATCTCCCAGATGTATTTTTCCTCACAGCACTTAATAACCTCTGACAAAATTACATATGTTTATTATTTCTTTACACTACAATGTAAGCTCTATGATGACAGTGATCTTTTTTACTGCTTTGATTACAGCTGAGCCCAGTGCCTAGAACACAATCTACAACTAAAGGCTTTCAAAACTACTTACTGAATGAATCCATTAACTTTTTTTTTTTTTTTTTACTGTTTTGTTAAAGCCATTTGCACTATGCCCAAAGAGATTCAGGTCACACTTACAGGTGTTGTTTTAGCTTTACTAGGCATACAGACTCAATGAAGAAAAAAATACAGGCTTTTTCCATCATCAGTAGCCACTGACAGAAGGTCTCCAAGTGACTCAGTGTCATAAATGTTCAGGGAAATGTTTAGGGGGAAAGGAATTCTAGAAACCTAAAATAACCCCTTCACCAATCCCGAAAGAGGAATCTCTCCAAACATTTCTTTTTTCTAACTCCGTAACACTTAACAAAGCCATTCTTAATAACCACACACAGCCTGGTACTCATCTATCTTTTCAAATAAAATTTTTAAGTAAAACTAGACATAGATATTGTTGAAAATGTTTTGCTGTGAAACTGACTTAAGATATTCATTTAGCCAAGAGGTGAGTTAGTGGGTATTGTTCTAAAGGCTGAACAGTTCTGTTTACTACTGTTTATTATTTAATACATTCTTCACAGTCACTCCCTCCCCGCCAAAAAAGGAAAACACACACACACACACTGGTGCAATCAAGAATGCTATGTCCAAAAAAGCTGTTCTGAAAGGCTATGACCTAAGTGTTTAACACTGACACAGATAAAGTTCAAGCGGTAGATGTCACTTGTCTCACACGTTAAAAAAAAAAAAAAAATCCGAGATTCAGAACCCAAGAAGGCAAGCAGAAAGAAATAGGCGTGAAAAATGAAATCAGTCATTTCTCCCTAGGCTCCTCCTGACACTGCGCACACACCCCTGCCCCCTCCACCGCCAGCCTTTAACAACCCCCTTTCCAGAGGCTGCTCCCCAGCTCAGCCCCGCACTGCGCCATCAAATAATGAGTCAAGAGGACGCACGATGCCCCTCCGGGAAAACCCAGGCAGCAATACTCGGTGCACCCAGCTGAGTGGAAATGTCTACTAACTACTTAAACTCGGAACCCTATAGGCGGTATCAACAAAGCATAGTCCTAAGTCCCGAGGTTCAAAGATCTTCGCCAGCCTCCGCGATACTGCCAAATCGACAGGATTCCAAAAGGTGACTCCACCGTCAGCGCAGAACCCGAGGCCGGAGGCGGCGCAGACCGCGAACACTCAAGGATGAAGTCCAATCAGCCTCCCGCCCGGCGCTCGCCCCGCGGGTCGCCGCCGCCGCCAGGGTGGACTCCCGCCCCGCGGCCCCGCGGCCTCGGACGCCCCCTCCCCGAAGGGTCGGGGCGCCGCGTCACGTGCAGAGGCTGAAACTTCGAGGTCCGGGCTGAGGGTGGGGGGCAGGAGCACAGCGAGGCCGGGAGTTAACGCGCCCGGTGACTCACCGGCCGCCCCCGCGGGCAGCTGCGGGCGAGGGGGCCGGCTTGCGGGCACCCGCGGGCTCAGCAGAGCACCCTGCACGCGGAATAAATAACAATGTCATTAAATCGCTGCCCGAGAGCCTGGCCGGCCGGCGAGCGAGCGCCGCCGGGAGCTGACTTTGTCTGGAGCCGGCACCCCGCCTCCCGCGCGTCCCCGCAGCGTCCCCCGCGTCCCTGAGGGGACCCCGCGCTGCCGCAGCCCGGCCTTACCCGCCAGCTCGTCCGGCTCCAGCCCACTGTCCGCGTCGATCCCGCACAGCACGAAGTAGTGCGCGAAGCGGCAGGCGGCCGGGGAGGAGCCCGAGGCCGGGCCGGGCGCCGCGCCGCTCCCGCTCATCCCGGCCGCGCTGCTCCTGTCGCCGCCGTCGCCTGAGAGGACTCGCTGCTGAAGCTGCCGCTCGGGCTTCGGTCTCCGCGCGCCCGCCCTAGGGCGACCCGGGCGAGCCCATGGCCGCGCAGCCGCCGCTCGTCAGCGCAGCCTCGCTCCTCTCTCGGCGCCGGGGAAGCGGCCTCGAGCTCGTGCCCGGTCGGTCCCGCTCCCGGTGCCCGGCGCGGGAGGGGCAGACGAGGGGAGTGTCGGCGTGAGAGGCCCGCGTCGCCGCAGCTGCGCTCGCGAGCTGGGAGCCTAGGCGTCTGGCGCCCGCCGGTCAGCTGAGCGGCGTTCTGGCGGTGGGAGCGCGGGGAGGGCGCGAGCGCGGGCGCGGAGGGGAGGGCGCGCTCGCGAGGGGCGGGTGCGCGCGTTTCGGCTGTACGTGCGCGCGCGTCCAGCGGGCTCGGAGGGAGCACCGGATGCTGGCGGGATTCGTGCCAGCCCGGCGGTCGGGGCTGCGGCTCAAGGGCGACCCCACACACGCGCCTCCGGCTGCCAGCGAGAGGCAAAGCCGCAGAGGGGATGCTTCCTATCCTGAATTTTTAAAAGAGAAATGCAGCTTGGGGAAAGGTTAACGGCTGCTCCGAAATAATTTCCCGCAACGATCTGGACCATCAACATACTTGAAACTGACAAGTGCGGATGTCCATCTTATTTTAAGATCGTAGTCCTTGAATCCTTCCACCAGCGCTCAACCCCGCTCACAAGCCATCCTTCCTCACCGAATCGGTGCCTACTCAATAGAAAACAAAGAAAACAAAAAAACCCACTCAATATCCACAAAGCTTTAAGACTTCTAAAACGACCACAGTTATCAACTTCCCCTAGCCGACCCATTCCGTAATTTATCCTGACATTTTCCAGGTCAGTGTAATGTAGTCAAGGCGCTCCAGTTCCCCAGCTCTGTACTCATTTGAACTTATCTGCTCTTCCAGCAGGTACAATCGGCGGCTGATAAGGCAAAAGGAATTAAACCCTGAACCCCTCTTCCAGGCTACGGCTTTCTTACTCTGCTCTTTCCTCTGACTCCCCCCTCTTCACAACGACATCACAGATCTACTCTTACTCCTTTGAAAAGTGGAAAACTAAATCCATACTATCTCCACATTGTCACCCCTTCCACACCACTTCTGTTCGATTTTTTAGGGGTTTGGGTATAAGGTACGCGGTGGGGTGAGGGGAGCGTGTGGGTGTGTGTCGTGACACTTCCGGCAGACACGCAAGCAAATATTCCAGGAAGGCGGACTGAGGGACTGAACCTCAGTTATTTGACTGGAAAATGTTCTCCCTGGAAGATATGTATGGAAGTTCAGTGGGCTTCCCAGGTGGCGCTAATGGTAAAGAGCCCACCAGCCAATGTAGGAGACTAAGGGACAGGGGTTTGGTCCCTGAGTCTGGAAGATACCTCGGGGAAGGGCACAGCAACCCACTCTGTAGTCTTGCCTGGAGAATCCCATGGACAGAGGAACTCTGTAGTCTTGCCTGGAGAATCCCATGGACAGAGGAGCCTGGCGGGCTACAGTTCACCGGGTTGCGAAGAGTCGGAGTCAACTGAGTGACTGAACACTCACTCAGGTAAAGAACCTGTCTGCCAGTGCAGGAGACCCCAGGGACAAAAGCTGGGTTGGGAAGATCCCTCTGAGAAGGAAATAGCAACCCACTCCAGTATTCTTGCCTGGAGAACCTCATGGAGGAGCCTGATGTGCTACAGTTCATGGAGCACACACATGCGTACCATCATTTGCTGTAGCTTGTACCCTCACTTTCTCTTCAGGTTTGCAGTGTAAGAAGAACTAAAAAAATCAGAATGAGCCGCAGCCTGGGTAATGCACCTTGAGCTCCTACTGCACCCTGCACTTTTCTTTCAAAACACTTCCAATGACCTTTTCTGTGTCTGTCTGCTCGACTGGATTGTAAGCTCCACAGAGCAGGAGTCAGGATCCTGCTAGGTTCAGCCTGTTAGTGTCTAGCAGAACCCTGGTCCATCTAGCCCCTCAATTCATGTTTATTAAATGAATGAAAGAAGGCTGGTTATCTCAGTAGTAACAAGTTGTTGATGCTACTAGGAAAATACAGAAACTCTATCTGTGACATATTTATGAACATATGCTAATTTGCTATTATAAAATGATTGCTTTTTCTCATATAGACAGAACTGAGATATGTAAACTGAAATATGTAAAACAATTTCACTAATAAGGAGGGGAGGGAATGACAGGATGTGTGTGTGTTTCTCCTATCTTTGTTGGTAGATCCTTACAGAATGTTTGTTTGATTCTAGATTAATAGAGGACAATAAAAAACTAATTCACTGTTTGAACTAGCCAAGGGGTATGGTACTTTTGTTGATTTGAAAAGCAACTGACTTTTTTAAAAAGTTTATTTGGCTGTGCAGGATCTTAGCTGTGCTATGTGGGATCTTTTAGTCATGGCTAAAATCTTCCCTAAAGGTTTCAATAGAGTTATCACATATTACAAGGGTAAAACTTTAATTTGAAAATACCTGGGTGTGTTCCTAATTATCGCTTCAGAGCAACACTGTGGTATATTCTGCATTAAGCTGCAATAAAACAAAGTTGAAAGAATAACCGAGAGAGACTTCCTTAGCAGTACAGTATTTAAGAGTCCGCTGTGCAGTGCGGAGGAAGCGGGTTTGAGCCCTGGTCAGGGAAGTAAGAACCCACATGCCTTGGAGCACCTAAGCCTGTGTGCCACAGCTAGAGAGCCTAAGACAATAGAAGAGCGTGCATGATGAAGATCTCAGTAAAAACAAAAAAAAAAGAATTAACTATATATCAATGCACATATGTTTTCCTCTAAAGTGATGACACAGAAATAAATTAGCTAAGTGAATAAAATGACTTAAATCTTACAAGTTATTTAAACTGTGTTGAGGAGGGGAGAGATCATATCCCTATTCCCAGGCTAAGATAATCCTTGTTGGTACCATTCTTCATTTCCACCATGTCATCTACTCATATTCATAACCAAGAGACATAGGATTGCTAAATAAACTACTCAGAGCCCTAGACATTCCTTCGACCACGGTTTACTAGTAGTCAGAGTCACCATATGGTATGCCAGGTTAGCAGTAATCAGGTAATTCCTCATTCCTGTGCCTCCCGCAGGCAGCAAACCCTGGCATGGCTGAACCTCTCCACACATAAGTCATCCCCCCCATGGGAGGTTTTACCAGAGAGTCCTTTAGAGATCATTGCTCAAATACTTACAGCACTGCCTTCCATTCTGCTGCTGTTCCTGGTACATATGCTGCCCGACTGGAAACCTACAGTGGAGGCAACAATCCCATAGCACCAAACATGCCAATTGTGATTACAATTCCAACAAAAGATTCCCCAACAAGGGCATTCTCTAGTTGTACCTTGCATGGGGCTTCTGGTTTCAGTGCTTGGGCTTCTCTTGTGGCGCACAGGCTCCAGATTGCATGGGCTCAATAATTGCAGAGTACAGAGATCAGTCCTGGGTGTTCATTGGAAGGACTGATGTTGAAGCTGAAACTCCAATATTTAGCCACCTGATGCAAAGAGCTGACTCATTAGAAAAGACCCTGATGCTGGGAGAGGTTGAAGGCATGGAGAAGAGGAGAGGAGAAGGGAATGACAGAGGATGAGATGGTTGGATGGCATCACAGACTCAATGGACATGAGTTTGAGCAAGCTCCAGGAGATGGTGAAGGACAGAGAAGCCTGGCATGCTGCAGTCCATGGGACTGCAAAAAGTTAGACACGAGTGAGCAACTGAACAACAACAACAAGGAAGGAAAATATTTTTCAAAACAAATTAAAATACCATTAGAAATAGTAAAAAATAAAATACTATATATTCCACATGACACATTCTATAAATATGTGGAATGTAGTGAACAGAAGTCAGATCTTATTAAGGAATCCAGTATGATGCCACGAAAGTGGTCATATTTGAAATGGTCTTATAAGAGAAATAGGAGGTAGAACTGGGAGGGAACATTCAGGCACAGAAGAAATGACTGGAGTATAAAAGTGCATAGAGGACAGAAGTTCAGCTGGAGCCAGAACATGAAGAGCCTTGAATGCCGGGCGGTAGGGGTGACTCACTTTCTTGGTTTTGCTGATACCTGAGAGCTCGGCCTAGCTAGCTTTGAATGAGTTTAACACAGGATATTTGAAATCAACTAAGCTAGCTCCCTCATTTTACAAATGAAAATGTCTTAAGTTCCACGGGATTTTCGTGACTTACCCAAACACACACTGTCAGTGGTGGGACCGGGAACAAAACCAAAGACTGGATTGTAGACTATTTAAGGCCTTCTCAGGTCTGATGTCTGTGTGTATGTGTGCACACACACTCAGTCATGTCTGACTCTTTGTAACCCCATGGACTGTAGTCCCCCAGGCTCCTCTGTCCATGGAAATGTCCAAGCAAGAAAATTGGAGTAGGATGCCATTCCCTTCTCCAGGGGATCTTCCAGACTCAGGGATCGAACCTGTGTCTCCTGAGTCTCTTGCATTGGCAGGCCAATTCTTTACCACTGAGCTACCTGGGAAGCCCTCTGATGTCTGTAAGTCTGTGAAATCTCTCTAGCTGAGTTGACTAACCTTTTCCCTCTGTGCTGTTTATGACTTCTCATCAGAGGTCCATTTCAGAGTTTGATTATTTTTTTCTTTTGTGAAGAAAATTTTTCAAGCATATGGAAAGACTAGAATAATGGACACCTGTATACCCATCACTTAGTTTTCAAAAATTTTTTGTTATGGTAAAGTCACATTATATAAAATATACCATTTTAACTATATTTAACAGTATAGTTCAGGGGCACTAAATACATTCACATTGTTGTACAACTCTCACCATCATCCTCCTGAATTTTTCATCTTCCTAAATTGAAACTCTGTCCCCATTGAACACCAACTACCCATTCTCCCTCCCCCGTCCCAACCTCCTGCCCCTACCATCTACCAGGGTACTTTATGATTCTATGAATTTGACTATTCTCCCATCACCTAGTTTGAATATTAACATTTTGCCCTTTAATTGTTTCATTACTGAAGTGCGTGGGTGGTTAGTCACTCAGTCGTGTCCGACTCTTTGTGATCCTGTGGACTATAGCCCACCAAGCTTCCCTGTCCATGGGATTCTCCAGGCAAGAACACTGGAGCAGGTTGTCATTTCCTCCTCCATTTGACTGAAGTATTTGAAAGTAAATAAGGCACAAGATTAGTCAACATTTTGAATGTGTCTGTCGTATCTAAAGTTTCACGTAAATGTTTCCTTACTTTCTCAATGAAATATCTAGACCTTCTTTTCTCCTTTTGCCTCACATAAAATACCCAACATTAGTTTCTTTTCATCATCTAGTCCTTTCTTTCTCTTTTTCCCAATAATACTTTAGTAGATTTATGTGTAATTGTTTTCTCGGGACTGCCTCCTTCTGAGAACCTCCTTCCTTTCATTCCAACCAAATTGCTCTCTCAGGAGCTGCAATGATATGATACAACACCACACACATGCATGCACATGCACGCGCGCGCGCACACACACACACACTCCTCTCAGAAGAATTGATTGGTCTAGAAGA